TATATATATATATATATATATATATATATATTTCTGTTACAAACGTTTGTCAAATATTTACGTGATCAGCTTTCTGAGAAGATGCAAAAAATGCATTTGTGTCATTGTTTCTCCATCCATACTTGCCTGTATTTTCATTATTTATGGAAAACTGACATATTTCTTCATATTTCAATATTTTATTTCCAATATGGTTTATGCTACATTCATTTGAAATTATTCTTGAAATATTGAAAATGCAAAACCTTGAAGCTATTTTAAATTGTTTAGAAGTAAATCGACAGGTAACTCCATAAGATATTGCGATGTTTAATATAGTCCCCATTACTTCTGATGTTGAGCACAGTTTTAGTCAAGATACTAAAGGTGTAGTTTTTATCTGACAATTTAAAACACCGCTTGAACCCACAGGTTCATGAATGATCAATTTTCACAAACGGATTATGGTACTTACTCTCAACTACACAAAAATGTTGAGTCGGTTTAGTACATGAAATGATTAAGCGCAAATATTGTTCTACGCCTAATATTAAAATTAAATTCTTCGGTCCTATTTATAGACTTTGAACGGTTGCTCTAATGCATTAATAGTTCATACATTATTTTTACAAATTTTACTCTAACTATATTCAATATTCTGAAATTTTTTCTGTAAATGTCTATGAACAAACGTAGATGATTCGCGTCGTGTAAATTCTAGCCCCGGTACACAGGCAGCCTAGAGCGGGAGAGAGAACCCGCCCCCGCTGAAGGTTGAAAAGAGCCCCGTTGCCCTGGGGAATAAAATATATATTTGATAAATAGGTCTGGATTCTACTCCCTCTTTTTTAGCAGTTTAATTACATTTGTTATTGGTATTATTAAATTTATTATTTTATTCTGCTATTTTATTTTCTAAAAAATTGACATATATAAATAAAATAAATGGAAAGGAAGTGCCCAGAAATGTAGATGCTCTCCCTCTTGTTCTGGACTGCCTACGCCTGTGGTGATTTTGGAGGAACCGAAACGTTCGCATGAGATGTTTACCTGTCGCGGTCGCGGTCCCGGTCGCGATCGCGGTCCCGCTCCTTGCGCTCGCGGTCGCGCGCCTCGCGACTCCGGGAGCGCGAGCGATCGCGTCGGTCCTTCTTGGGGCCATCCTTGGCGGCGACAGCAGCGGCCGCGGCGGCGGCAGCGGCAGCTGCGGCCGGACCGAGGGCAGGGCCGAGGGCCGGACCCAGGCCGGGCCCCGTCGGGCCATCCGGCAACTCCTTCTTGGCGTCGTCAGCAGCGCTTGCGGCGGCGGCGGCAGCCGCCGCGCGTGCCAGTAACAGTTGGGAGGGCAGAGCTCCGTCGCCCAGGGCGTGGGCGCTCAGTCCCATCAGCGACGACAGTGCTTGGTGGACGGGCGGCAGAGCAGGTGGAGGCGGCGGTGCGCCCGCTGTCGGGCCTGGGCCCGCCGCACCACCCGCCGGCAGTTGCATGAAGCTCTGCAGGGACAGCGACTGCTGCCGCGCCTGCTCGATCACCTTCTGCATTTCGGCGCGACTGCTCAGCAGCAGCTTGATCTTCACCTCCTTAATTTTCCCACCGTCTGTCATCATCGCCTGCCGTGCGTCCTCGTCGGTGCTACCGCAAACAAAAGCGTAGTGCTATTAGAACAACCATTCAAAAGATAGAGCAAGTACATATATAAAAATGTCAGAGGTCCGATTTTCTGTAAAAACCTCAATTTTCGAAAAACCAAAAGTTCAAAATCGTTTGAACACTCTTCTACAAGTAGTATATTACTGAAGTTGCAAATTGTCAAAATGAAATTTTGTTATTGTAAAGTAGAAAATGAAATAATGCCGTCTAAATTGATTCAAATAGTTTTCGCTTACTTTTGAGTGAAATTGTGACTATTGAAAAAAATAATAAAATATTTTTCTCGAAAATGGCTGCAAAATGTTTTGCAAAATGCAATGTTTTGCATATAGCGCTTAAAAATGTGGTGTAGATCCTATTTTTATTACAACCCCTAGAATTTCGAAAATTACAACAGTTCTTACATATTATAAAAGACATTATATACACATGTAGTGTAGGGAAAATTATGTAATGCGCGAAAAAAGGGCGGAATTCGGTAGAAAAACATTTATTGCCGGACCTTAAAAACGAAAAAAGTTGATAAATCCATTTGCTAAATGAAAAAAAAAAAAAAAAAAAAAAAAAAAAAAAAAAAAAAAAAAAAAAAAAAAAAAAACCTCTAACACGTGGTGTAGCCACAATCCCTGTTAGGTGTTCCCTCAAACGCTATTTTTTTTAAATGTCTGTAAAATGTCTTCAAACTTTTCCAATAGGTAGTGCTTAGTGCGCTGTTTAATACAACATGTAGTTAATTTTGCTGTATTCTTTTGTGTTGTTGTTTTTTCTTTCGAAAATTACAAGAATGTACTTTTGTAAATATATCTCAAGCCGTTAATATGCACATTTCCAACGTTTTGTAAACACCATTGCATTTGCGAGTTAAAGCACCTCAAATGACTTGATTTTTTTTGAAACCTCAAAATTTTCTGTGAAAAAGAGCTTGATATTTTGCAGTTACAGTAAAGCTTAAACGTCAATTTTGAGAAATTACTCCACATTTTCAATGATGATTGCCATTTGTGACGAGGTTTTACTCTTCTTTAATATTTTTATTAGCAATATTTCGGTCCTACCATGAGGAAACCGAAAAATTGAGAAAATGTCAAAAAATGTACTTTGGGCGGCGATAGATGGCAGCTGGCAAGAGGCTGGGGCAAGACCGTAAAGCCAGTCCACACCAAGGACATTAGAAAACTTAACTATGAAAATGTCTGTGGAATTCTGTAGCACCACTGGGTTTTAATCTGACCTACATTATCTATATTGAAGCCCCGAATTGTCTTTCATAATGAAACGTAGTACTCAATATTACAAATTGAATCATTTTTTTCTTGCAAAATATGAATAGTTTTCGCCTTTTAGAGAATTTTCTAACGTATCAGAACCAATGGAACATTGAGAATACTACATTTCTGGCGCTGTCCAAAACTATAGTATTCGTATTAAGTAGCTCAGGTAAAACGCACTGGTATGGACTGAAGGCCTCGGTTTGGAATCCTGGCCAGGAACATCTTTTAAACTTTTATGAACATTTTTGCACATATAAATACCTTTTTTTGTTGCAAAAGTGCTATTTTTATTAAAACTTCAGTTTTTACAGACAAATGATTTTTTTTTTTTTAATTTTCCATGGGTTATTCCGTAAATAGTTTTTCAAGAGGTGAATGATGTGTTAGTGTGATAAAAGTTACCACATGATTTTACAGTGTTAATTCAAACAAGAAAGTATGTGCATTTGGAACATCATTAGTTTTCAATCTTATTGATATACTGTCGTTAGAGTGATTTTTAAGTAAGATTTGTAAATTAAACAACGAGAATCATAAAAGCTTTACCGAGAACTCTTCGTCCCCAGCCCGTTACGTCTCACGGAACTGAGGAAAGCTGCTTCATGAAATAAACCCCTGTATACGACGTCGGGCTGACGCGCGTTAAGTAACGTGCGTCATAGAATAACACCGTATCAATTTGCAAAATGTCATACGAGCATTTTTCTAGCACCGTTCTGCATAAGACAGTGTTAATCTACAATTGTGTGACAAAGGTCTATGGGGAGCCGATATATGTCGCTTACAGCTTTCTCTTGAGAGCAACGAACCTGAAGGCGATGAAGGCATCTCCCTGCTCGCCACCCACGATGTGCACACCGCCCTCCGGGATGGAGAGGCCGCGGAAATACTGGCGGATGTCGAGGGCATTGGCAGACCAGGGCAGATTCTGCAGACGGATAATGACACTCATCTTTCCGGCGGACCTGGACAAACATACAGATTTCTCACTTAGGAAAGCTTCCTCTTTACTTGTCTAACAAAACTGCAGAAGGGGGTGTGGTGACCCCTTCCCCTTACATACACACAAACTAAAGTATGAAACTGAGTTTACTCAGTAAAAACATCAACTTTTCATCATCGGGGATACAGACACATCAGTACATATATTTAAGAGCATTTTAATCAGGTCTTATTATTTTTTTAACAAGACATACTCGTCGTAATTTATACAGGTAAGTTTCCCCCCTTTATTTTCATCAGCGGGAGGAGATTACTTGCAATAAACAAACAAAAAGCTTTTTTTTTAAAAAAAAAAGGCAAGTAGGTACCTTCATGGCTGAGAATTCTGCCGTCTTACCTCGTAAATTCTCAGAAATATTTCACTTAAGGAATATATGAAATAATGGTGGAATAGGCAAATTATTCAACTACGAAGAAACCCTAAACCACATGGACTTTACTGAGTAAATCACAAAAAAAGATATTAGAGGGTTTGTGCTCGCCACAGCGAACACCACAATCGATCTTCTACGCATGCTGAAATGCACTAAAGTGCTGCGAAACATTAATTGCGCATGTACAAAGGGTTGTGATTTAACGTTCGAGGGGGCACTATTTCTTTCCCTTGATTCCCGCTAATGAGCCAAACAAAAGGATTTACATTTCGAAGAAAATGGGATTTGGGGGAAAACGGGAATGGGAATAGGGGCTCACGAAGTGTTTTGTCTTTCACTTTCCAATTATAGAAAGGCGAAAGTGACTTCGGAGAGAATGGCGAAATACACATGGAAAGGTAGAAATATCACTTTTGAGAATGGAAACCAAGACTTCTATAGGTTGTACTGGAATATGTCTTTGTTCTTAAAAACAAGTTCATTGCGCTTGAAATTATTAATCTTCACATGATGGTAAGAATATTATTTACAGCTGATAATTAAGAATAGATGGCGGATTTTAATGAAATATCTTTTTTCTTCTTTTTACTATACAAATACGCAGTTTTGTATAGAAATTCATTTTATGTTAGGACAAAACGAAATGACCAGTTTTTATGTCATTTTTTCCATTTTTCATCGATTTTGACTAATAAGTTTTTTTAAACCTTTTTACGTCATTTTTCGCTGATTTCATCGATTTTGATGGTACTTGCTTCAAACAATATTTACGAGGCACAAAAAATGTTCACCACAGAATTCCAGAGAAGCCTATTCGATTTCTCCGCTCATATATTCCAATGTCAGCCGTTGTTAGTAGTATGTAATCTAAGGTAACGTTTATCGGCGCCGATTTCGCAATAAAGGCAGATATATTCTTCTATAGCACATTCCAAACACAAACTTTGCAAGCTGAGTTCATTCGAACAAAAGGAAAAAGCCTCGATTACGTCAGTTACATATCCAACAGCTTGGGTTGTTCATCTGAAATGGTTTTGATACTTTTTTCCCGTCATTTTCCTTTGTTTTTAGAGCATTTTTGAAGCAGAACATTTTATTGAACATTTTTGGCAATGTTTTATGTCATCAAAATCCGCCCCTTAATTATGGATATAAACGCATATAAGATAATAGTGCTGAATACTTGACTTTCGATTTCACAACTATGTTTAGCTAATTTTTAGAAATTGGTTTTATTCGCATAATTGAGCATTTCAAAAGCTGAGGAAACGATAGAGCATTATTGCCACAGCAAAGAATTATGATCAAAGTCATTCAAACATGAAAATTAAGCGTAGTGGTACAATCTCATGCATGGTCAATTTTGCTAATACGGTGTTTTACAATGCACTTGAAAATCGACAATGTAGGCTGTTTCGTGTGGTTTAATGAAGAGAATTTTCTTCAGTAATGTAAGTAAAAAAATGTAATTTTACAAGGGAAGTAAAATATTATAAGTGCATAATTTGCAATATAATTATAATTTTACGTTATGTTACGTTATAATCACGCGATAAAGTCTGTTATGAGGTATCACTACTAGTTTGGCACTTGCAGGAGCAATATCCGAGCAGATCTGCGTATCCAAACAATTCAAATTTTAATTACCCTCAATGTGCATGTGTCTCGAAGCAAAAACGTCCCCGTTAACGTGCTATGCTTTTGTCGCTTCTTCATAGTTTGCTGTAGACTAATGTGAAGGGGATTTTGTATGTCAAAGGTTCTTCTTATCTATGAGGCTCATATGAGCGGCCCACCTCTACTCATGTTTAGTATAACTTTGGGTAGTTTACTATAACATTTACTATCTAGTACTATGTGTGCACAATTTTTTCGCTATACAAGAGTGCTAAATATTCTGTTTTTTTCTACATCGTATAACCGTTTCATTATTTTCGCTATCACCGGCCATTGGGGCCGGAGGGAGAGACGCCACGATCGGCTAAGGAACTGCCCTTTTCTCACAGTGTTGACCCGTCCGAATAATCCTGATCGTAGGTATGTTCAGCAGCAAAAGAAATATAGCATTTTCTCGCCGCGCAGTTGGCGACAAATATGTTTGTAATTTCTATGCGCTCTTAAATTTTCAAATGCATTAAGATGTACTGGACGGGTGATATCTGCTTCTTGAGAATTGCTTTACGCGAGTTTGCGCAGTAACCGTTCATGTAAGCAATTACAAGCCTTGTGTAACTCCTAATCTAGCCAGATGAATTTTGCAAAATTTGTCGAGTTGTGCTCAGTCATCTCAATTTGCTTTGGAGAAGACCTGACACTCTTGATATTAGGTGCTCTAATAACAATTTCATCGCCAACGTAGTGATTTTTACCCATAGTATTTTTCCCAATGGCCACGCTATTTGTCAATTTGGACATTGTTTATTGGCGATTTCTGTATTAAGAAATCCGTATCATCTAGCCAAGAAGCCAACCTTGTCGATTCATTACTATCAGCAGGAGTAGCTTTTCTTTTTTGTTCTTCGATCTATGTCGAAGTCTATTGGAGCTCGTGCAACGCTGACGGCGTCTCACTCAATAGTAATTAGTTTGTTGGGAGCTGACTTTGTACACAGTTCAGCTTTCCCCGCCTCATGGCAATACTAACAGTGATCTGTCGGCAACGAGCCGCCCCAGGTGCTAATGACTGGCAGCGCAGTACCTTTTTCCTTAAGTTACTTTAGAGAGCATACTGGCATGTGGTTCGCCTGATCTCTTTTCTCTAGTTCATCAACCCCAGCGATGACCCTGTGGAAAATGCTAAAGGGACGCGCTTGGCACTTACTTCATAACACGAAATTGTTTCATAATTTCGTTAGCTTTCTGGTATTCGCTTGGCATGAACTGTCTCGTGTGTCTTATTGATAACGTGCATTATCGTGATGCAACTAAATTTGAGCATGTTTATCTGGACAATGCATTCTATCCTTGAGCAGCTTTTCATAAAACTCTTCTAATGGCCAGTTTACAATAATTGAAAACGACAGTGATCTCCAAATTTTATAGTAGAAATGGCATCATACACACTACATGTCCCACCTCAAGGATCCGACAACAGTTTTGAATCAGCCTGTAAGACTCCATGTTACGAAGTGTAAATTCTAGGGCACTGTACTATTGACATCATGTATGACGTGTGGTGATTGGGACCGGCACAAGCTATCTTACTGCCCCGTGCTATCGATGGTTAGGTAAGATTAATCACACTGTTTTTCACATTTTTCATTTACGTAAAAATATCACGTTTTTCACCAACTTCATCCAAACAAATAATATGCAACAAAATGTATATAGTGAAGCAAGAAAGACTAACAAATTGGCTGATTCCACTGTGCCGGCATAAATTAGGTAAAACTATAGAATTTACGAGTTTTGGTTCTATGTAAATCGCAGTATTTAGTTCCCCATGCATTGTCATTTAAGTCTTATGTGTTTGTGGTGGAGGCTGGGGACAACCATATCGCCTTATCTCCTTGACCAAGATCTCGGAGTCCAGGATGAAGGTGCATTGTTTACGAGTTTTACACTCCTTTCTTAAAAACCAAAACTGAGTGTACCTCCTCGATTCTTGCACTGATCTTATCACCTTTGGAAGGGTACTAACATCTTTCTTCTAACATGAGTACTAAGAGCTCATTAGCTTCACTGTCCATGTTATGCGTAACACTCGTTTGTTCATCCACACTCCATACACAGCATGGTGAAAGACTATTCTCTCAGAGATCCTAAAAAAAAACTCATCCCTGAATTCTTGTCCTCGGCCCCTTTTTGAAATAATTCGAATAATTTTCCCTCTATACGATGTATGAATAACTACTATTGATAGGTTTTTGTTTACATGAGAGTAGTCAATGAGGTCAGTGAACCGTGGAGCTGAGGGGTCTGATATTGAATTGAATTTGCCTTATTTTACGTGGCGAGACATTCGACAACAATTTTTGATGGTAAAAATGTAGAATCTCGTGACAGTTATATTTTGACTTCACCTATATGAGTGATATGAGTGATAAATATACATTTTTAAATGAATTGACAAACGGTTAACAGTAGAAATCTTATAAGATTGATACGCGAAGTACACTGCAAAGAGGGCCACCAATCATGAGAATAGACGGTTTACATTACTGTAATAAAGAAATGACGAGAGTTACTTGTTTGAAGTACACATTTCAGATGGACAGACGGTTTAGAAATGTAAAATGTTGAACTAGTTAGAAAAGATTCACCGCCAACAAATGTCTAAACATTAGAATGGTTCAAGTACATAAGCAGTCCAATAGTTCCAATGTTCTGGGGAAGCTGGATTCTACATCGGCGATGCAAGATGAGGGTGCCTTCTCGTCGACCACTAATGTTGACAATTCAACAAAAGGGCAGCATATAAATTTCAAATTTAATATTAGTGTTATGTGTAGGTTGAGTGTAGTATGAAAGTGTTGATTGTTAGTAATATTGGACTAAACTCAAGAGTGTGAGTGTATAAAATATAATTTCATATGTAGGTTTTGTTCTACGTCCTGTTACTGTCATGTTTCATGCAAACAGATTATAGA